TATTTTTCTTTGCTCACATCTTCATCGAGTTTGACGTAAACGATTATATAATCTCTAACAGTGGCGGACCCAAAAAAAATTTATGTGTGCACACTTAAGGTGGGGGTTCGGGGCAGCGCCCCCGAAGATTTTTTTTAAAGAAAATTTTAAATGTATTAATTGTAGGGGTTAATTGATCAAAAACCAACCTCTATCGATGTCTATTTGATCCAAAGTTGACCACTTTTGTTTCACAAAAAAATGTAAAAAATCTCATGCAATTCTCCTCCACTTGATAAAGATTGAATTTCAGGAATCATTGATGTCCATTAAGGTTTGGAGCTAATAAGATTTATGTTTAAAAAAGAAGAAGAAGAAGAGACAAAGCAATGTAGTAGGGTTTAAACTTTAAGCTTTTAATTATATGGTTGGTTTGGTGGGTTAGGTCTATTTTTACCTTTTTTTCTTTTCAATTTTTTTAATATTTTTTTTTTACTTGACCTAAATCACTTATTCCTTTAAAAAAAAAAATTCAAATTTTTGTGTCTGTATATGCAAACACATGCAATAACACCAGTCCGCGAGTGATCTCTAACTTTCTTTACTTATATTGATATAGATGAAAAAATAAAATAAATATTGAACGTGTTGAAAATTTTGTATCTGACAAGAATTGAAAGCGCATAAGATCGACGAATAGGGTTTACGAAGTTAATGAAAAGTGTTATCTCTTGAAGAAAAAATAAATAAATAGAGAATTTGGACTATTGAGACAGGCCAAAATTAGCGTGCTAGCTGCTGCAAGTGGAAGTGGGGCTTCTCGAAGCCACCAACATGTTACAACTTACAACCACACACGATAGACAAAGTGTCATGAATAAGAAGTTGGATGTGAAGATATATATTTTTATATTGAATAGACATAATTATTTATGGATGAACGAACATGATTTTTAACGGATGAACAAACACGACTCTTTACTATTAATAAATATCTTTTATCACGATCAATCATGATTTATAAATATGGAAGAAAATCAGATAATATGAGAGACTTTTCTGTTTTCTCTCTCATTCCGAAACTATCAAAAACCTTTTTGAAATCATTTTGCATTCATCTTGCATTTCATCCTAGTGCGATTGGTCAGATATAAATTGAGTTTGAAAGAGTATTCAATGTGAAAGTGCCGCCATAAAAATAAAAATAAAATATAGCTATTCTATCATAGGAGATATTTATCCACAAATATTGAGTACCATATAGAGAGCAAAATTATCTTAAGGACATAATATCTAGTGTCTTGGATTTTTCCTTAATATATTTATATATTTTCGTATGGTACACTTTAACTGTGTATTATTATATATTTTAATTTTTTGTATGTATTTCATAGAATTATGTATATTGTTGAAATGATTTTTCTAACACAAGTTATTATCTTTCAATAATTTTAGCATTATTTTGAACAACATTATACACAAGCGATGGTGAGTCGATCTAATTAAAACAATTTTGTTAGATGCCTTGGCCAGAGACGATAATTTTCTTACTGTAAGTGGGGCCATTATAATTATATAAAGCCTATTCCATTTTTTCCCGGCTTTCTCCATCAGAAAGCAAAGTCATGTGTAAGGGTTGACAATAATGCAATGTATTATCCTCTATATATAATTACTCACAAGCACGAATATACCAATTAAAGATTTTATATTCGCTTCGTACACGGATAAATTATATTTTTGACAAACTTTTTTCGAGTTAATTTTTAGGTTTGAGACTTTGAGTTAGACTCAATTAATTTTTAATTTTTGTGTGCATTATAGCCTACATCAGTTTAAGCAGTTTTTTTTTTAAAGCAAGTTTTTAGGATTTAATTAGACTTACCACATGATTTTAAAGGTCATAATTATCCCATGCAAACTGATAAATTAGTTTCATATAAACAGTATGGCTCAATTGATAAATTATGTTTCATGTTGATAATTAGTTCTATATCTTAGAGTGTGAGAACATATTTTATTATCTTCTTCTTTCTCTATTTTTTTTTTTTTTTGAGATTTCTCCATAGATTGTCCTGCACATTTAGGATTGAATTCAAGATCACAAATTAAACTAAAATAATCTCTTATCAGTTGATCGAAATGTTTGGTGGTTTATTAATTATCTTCTCTCTTACTATATATAACCACATGTGTAATTTATTATTTTTGGTTGATTACATATAATTTAAAAAGATAATTAAATAGTTAACAAACAATTTATTGAGATAAATACATCATCCCAAATCTTTCTATACTCTTTTTATTTCGCACCATTCTTAGTAACAATCTCTTTTATAAATTGTTATGGACTTGAGTAAGGTCTATATCCATAGAAGGCCCAGACGACACAAATCCAAAGATAAATTCTATAAATAAGAGCTAAAGATCATATGTATGATTGATTTTTCTTAACCCTACTTTATGCAATCACATAACACATACACCCACCCTGACTTGGCCAAGATCATCATATAGTGTGTCGTGATTCGCTACTCCCAAAATACCTAATCCATAAGTATCTAGAGAGAGCATTAGATCCAACATCGACCAGCTAATCTTTGGTTAGACATCTCTGCGTCAGGCAGAACATAAATATTTTTCACCAAAAAAAAAAAATCTCTTTTACAAATATGGCTAAAATTTCTTGTGCTTATGTGTGTGCTTACTTATTCCAGCTGTTAATATTAAAACCAAAGGGAAAATTTTATTACCCAGAAAGGGCAAAAAAAGAAGTTCACTTTGAATATAACGTTCCCATCTTATGATGTTCACATCAATTAATATGTATATCTGTAGCGTATCCATGATTTTTTGTGAAGTGACAAAATTTTATATATATTCTAAAATTTGAAATTAAAAGAAAAGGGATCCTTGTGAAGGGGCAGAATTATATATAAAGATTTATTTTGTCAAAACATGAACCAAAGCTAAAATTAGGGAAAATAGTGCGGTGCCCACCCTACACCCTCTCGGTTCGCTCCTGATTAGTTTCCCGATTAAGATGCATGTTTACAAGTTATTATAACCTATAAAATATGGAGTAGGATATATTAATCACAAAATTTTTTTATCAACTTTATAACTAATCTAATTACCGTTGATTTCTGTCAATCTAACGGTTATAATTTATTGAAAATTAATAATTAATTAATAAATGTGACCCAATAATTTCTAATAAATTATAATCGTTAGATTGACGGAAATCAACGGTGATTATGTTGATTGTAAATGTTGCAAATTTTTTTGGTGGTAAGTATATCTTTCCCTCTAAAATATTAGATAAAATGCATCATACACTTTCTAAATTCTGTAACCTAGTCAAACTGAAGTTAATGTATAGGTTGAAAATCCAGAAAATATTGGTTTTTAGAAATTAAAAACTTCAAGTTGTGAAAAAGACTTATGAAACATCACAAGCTGCGGCATTACTAATGCAATGTTGATTGTGAACATTGACAAGTTTATCGTTTTGGATTGGTTCATAATGAAAATTCTCCCTTACGATTATGTGATTGTCAAGAGAGACTTAATCGCTTGCTAAGATATTGAAGGGATCAACTTTTGCAACATTCGAATAATTAAATCTTGATATTTAGTTTATTTTAAGCTAAATGAAGTAAAAATTATTTTTGCATTTTTGTTTTTACAACATTCACCGTTGAATTAGTAAAAATAAAAGTGAATTTCTATGATTAAATATAATTTATTACAAGTTTTTATATTTTTTAAAATAGTTCTTTGTGATTAAATATCATTCGTACTCCTCTTTAACCAGTAAACCTGTAAGCACATGCTGAGAAAAGAATAATCACACATTTAAATTAAAAGTCCAAAGACATATAATTAATCCACTTTTAGATGAAGTGGATCTTATGAAATTTAAGATAAGTTTAATTTTGATTCATAGTTAATATAAAAAATATTACACTATCATCTACTTAATTAGTTGAAGAAATTGTGAAATCTTCACGCAATTCTTTTCAATTATATTGCAAATTTATCATTCTTTACATGATGCATTATTTATAAAAATAAGATAAGGAGTTACTATGTTTATTTAGTTTTTTATATCGAATACACGGTCGAACTCTTGTATATAAGATTATATCTTATTATAATTTATTAGGGAATGATTAATTTATATCTATATAAGAATAATAATTTTAAACCTAATTCTGGCTGTTAATCTCATTTGCATCAGGCGGGTCATAATATTGATAAATTAAAGTAATTAAATACACATAAGATCAAATCTTATTTTTGTATAGATATTAATATAACAATATTATCAAATATCTATCTCGGACAAAAAGATACTTATACATAATACTTTTTCATTGTGATTTTTGAATTTATAGGTCGCACATAAAAGCCTACAAAATGCATTATTTCCAAAAATATATTGAAATTATAGTAATATTAGTACAATTGCAATATTGTAGTATAAATTAAACTCAATTTCCCGTATTTATAAGTTTAATCATCCATCACCTTATAATTAATACTCCCAAAGTACATTAACCAAGCATTAGAAAATAAGATTGAGTACCATCAGTAGGTGCATTAATTGGCTGAGATTATTTCATATTGAGTTCTAATATGCAATTATGTTAAAAATTTAAATTTTTTTGTGTCATTCTTTAATCCTACTTAATTGGAGTCGGATTAATTAGGTAATCAATGAACCATGAATTTTTTATTTTTATTTTGAAAAAAGCTGTGCACTATGATAAGAAGCAGCATATAATTGAACCTCCAACTTGATAATAGTTTACTCATGACTTGGCCCATTGCTTGAAAATGTGTAGCAATAGACCATCATTTTCTAGGAAATATTTTTATACACGTCATAACTTAGGAGCCGACTTTGGATACATTCAAATTGTGACCAAGTTAAACTCCTCCTTGCACAAGGGCCCCTATATATAAATGGCGATAGAAGGTTCCGTAAGCTAATCAATGATGGTTTTGCAAACTGATAAGACAAGTGAAGTTACAGAGGCTGTTCCCTCTGACTTGTGCTATTTCTTCTCTGACTAGAAAAATCTATTGTTGCTTGCCCCCCATCCAGCTTTCCATTCTTTAGGAGCCTTTGTTGTTAATTTATATATAGTGTACCTTTCTGAGTTAGACTCTCACTGCATAAACCAAGGAGTGTGTGAGAGTGAGTTAGAGGGAGAGAAAGAGAGATGGGTAGAGCTCCTTGCTGTGACAAGACAATTGTAAAGAAGGGACCATGGTCTCCTGAAGAAGATGCTAAGCTAAAGGAATACATAGAGAAACATGGAACTGGAGGGAATTGGATTGTTCTCCCACAAAAAGTTGGTAAGTTCATGGACATATTATGAGTCATATATATTACTCTCTTGAAGCTAATGATAGCATGCTGATATGTAAGGATCTTAACTCTTCTTCCTTTGTTTTGTGTTCCTTATTGGGTTTGTTTTTTTCAGGTTTGAAAAGATGTGGCAAGAGCTGTAGACTGAGATGGCTTAATTATCTCAGACCCAACATTAAGCACGGCGAGTTCTCTGATGCAGAAGATAGAATCATCTGCAGCCTCTTTGCTAGCATAGGAAGCAGGTAGGTTTCATTTCACTTAATTTCATTAACTTCCATAAGCTATGAAAACCGTATAATTGATTTCCAATAAAAGAAAGAATCAGAGGGATATCACAATGAAACAATTGAATAGTTTGTTTTCACTTTTAAAGAAATATATTATGTACTTTGTTTTTAGATGTTCCAAATTTAGATCTGCTATGATTGTTAATGTTGTATAATTAGTAGTAAGTAAAGGTTCTTATCATGGGAATTCATCTTCATTAAGTATAGGTGGTCAATAATAGCATCTCAGTTGCCAGGCAGGACTGACAATGATATCAAGAACTACTGGAACACTAAGCTTAAGAAAAAAATGATGGCCATGAATCCTTCAACACAGAGGAAACCTCAACAAGCTACCCTTTTATCCATTGTTAAGAATTCAACATCATCATCATCATCTTCACTATTATCATTCAGAGACAGCGACAACTCCTACCACCACCGTAATGGATCTAGGTCCTTGTCCTCCTCATCAAGTCTTTTTAGTGGAAATTCTTCTAATTCAATTTTCCAAGCACAAGAAAGTTTCATGGATCCCACTAAGTGCCAATTTAAAGATAGCAATAGCATCTTTATGTTTGGAGGTGAAGCTACTAGTTGCAGCTCTTCTGATGGGAGCTGCAACAACCAGATTAGTCATGTCATAGAACAAGATTTTAAATATGGTGGAGAAGGGTGTGGTGATGCAACTTTTGTGGAGCAGATAGGTGCTGTTAATTGCCTCTACAGTGGGGTGGATGATACCCAGAAGTTGATGCTCTCCAATGCTGGTAGTGTTAGTGAGTTGACAGAGAAACAAAATGGGTTGTGGGGAGAAAATCCATTAGATTATGGTCTAGAAGAAATTAAGCAGCTAATAAGCACTAATAATTGCAACAACTTTTTGTTTGATGACAAGAAGACAGAGGAGGAAAGTGTCATGTACCACTGATGCTGACTGTGGATAAAATGAAGAAGATTTGAAGGGCCAACGAAAGGGGATACTTAGAAGATTCAGACTTGGACTGAGTTTATGCCTTTGTGGGAATGGATTTTTACTGTTGAATAGAACCACTTTCTTTGTTGAAAGTACATGGTAAAAGTTTTCTTTTTGCATTTACTTGGCCGAGGTATAACCCCACCCAGTTAAGCCATAAAGATGTCCCAAATAATTGAAGGAAGAAAAAAGAAAAGAAGCCTACACACTTAACTAGAGTAGTACTCTTTAGTCTCCTTTATCATCCAAACATAAACAAAGAGGCTTGCAGCAGCAATCCACTAATATTTTTCGTGTTTAGCATGCATTATCTACTATTATATTTAACATTTTTTTTAATAAAGTCAATCATGGACCTAAAAGCATAAATATCGAAGTGTAGAATCTTATCAATTACGTACTATTCAACATTAATTTTTTCCTTCTCCTAAAATATATGTCACCGTATTCTAATCAATTTTAACTTTTGGAATTATATGAACTACTGCCATAATAACTATCATCCAAATCTGATTAGGACAAGACAGGCTACGCAGTACGAAGGGCATTACAAGTATACAAATGAAACACAAGAAGTACTTACGAGTTACGAGTGTTTTCCTAATTTATTTGTTACATGGATTGTACATTAAAGAGAAATAACTACTGTGCTAAATTAAATATGATATATCAAAAATATTTAAAGGGAAAAATTAAAAATGTAATATCATTGTAAAATTATAATTATCCTTATTGAAAAAAATGTGTGTCCTCTTAAATACACAGATTAGGTACTTCTAAGAGAGATAGACACAAAAAGGTGTGGGTCCTATTGAAAAAATAAAGACAAAAAAAAAGTGAGTTTCACATCTTTATGTCAATCTATCTTAAAAAGACCTAAGTTTGTATGATTTAAAAGAACACAAAATTTTCCCTTATCTATATGAGCAAAACAACACAGATGACCTCACTCTTGAAAATCGATAATCACACAAATCGAAAAATAAAAGAGAAAAGAGATTTGACACAGTGATTTATGTTGATTCACCCCACGAGGCTACCTCCAGCTTGTCTGTACTATATTCACCTCAGTGCACCTCATTACAAGTCACTTATCTTACAAGGGAATATAAATAGGATTCAAAAAATTATAAGAACAACTATTCATGGACCCAAGCCTAAACTCTAAGAAAAATAAAATTATAATTAAGTCAGAAGCCAACAAGAGTACCAAACCATACCTCTATGGGCACGGGGGCACTACCCCATATACCCTAGTTGACTTTTTGGTAACCCCATCAACAAAAGTCTTCAACCGAATCCGAAGTAAGAATCATACTTAACCATCGGTACAAAATTTGATAAAGTTGAAGGGACGATTATTATTTGTATGACAAAAAAATGACATAAATAACGGGTTCTTATAAAGCAATATAAATTTAAATGGATATAATCACATTTCCTAATCCCTTACTCGCTCCACCACTGAGCGTAACTATGAGTAGAAGAAAATTACTTCACTGCCGTTACTGTAAGCATGTGAAACTTGCTTCTATAATAATGATGGTGATACATGGGATCCCATGGCCAATCCATAAGCGGCAATTATGGCATGATTATGAGAGAGAAAAATTTAAATTCGTAGAAATTACGTAGTTAAGTTAGCCTCATATTATCATGGAGTTTTTTTTTCTTTCTTTTTTTAGATTTAATTATCAATGTAAGACAACTTGTCATCTCCATTGAGAAATTTTTTTAAAAGCCATAGGATTAGGACTTGAAAGCAATACGAGCTATCAATTTTGATCTGAAAGTGAGTTAACTATAAACAAATTCAACTAGGGGAACAGAGATTTTAAAGATGGTATTTGATTAAAGCACGCATAAATGATTCAACAGATAAAAGATTCGCTATAGGAGATGAGTCCAAAGGGCTCTAAAAAGGCATGATCTTAGGATAATGATGCGTTGGATATGCAATTTAAATTTGTTGAGATATATAGTCTCATATTGCTTGTATGTGCAACTAATATGGAATTTATAAGGTCTTGGGCACTCCCACCATTTGAGCTAGTTTCTAGGGTGGTGTATCCCAAGGTTCTGATGATGGTATCAGAGTCTCGCCGCCTCCCACTTTCTCTTGTGGCATTTCTTAGCACAGGTAGGATGGGCCTGTTGCATTGTCCACTCTTCAAGCCCAATGAGCTCTTGTGTGAGGGGGCATGTTGAGATATATAGTCCCACATTGGTTGTATGTGCAACTAATATGGCATGGTATCAGATCCTCACCGTCCCCACTTCCTTTCTAGTGGAATTTCTTTCTTCGCACAGGTAGGTGAGCCTGTGCATTGTTCACCCTTCAAGCCCAGTGGACTCTCGTGTGAGGGGCGTCTTGAAATATATAAAACTATTAATGTAGTCTCACCTAATAGTTTAAACTTTTGGGTTGAATTGATTCTTTATGGACCTCTTCCACCATTTTGTTTGCTTCACTCTGTGAGATTATAGAGATTATAATATAAGATAACAAGGTTTTTCTTTGAATGCCTTTCTAGTGGTGTGTAAATGTCAAAAAAGACACTATTCGCATGATAGAAATTTCCCTTATGACCGGCATCTTCTTTCTTTCATGTTAATTGGTTTTACCAAATGCTTTTCAGTATCCGTATTTCTTTATACACAAGGAGAAAGAAGTTTTCAAAGAGTTGGACTTTTATATATATTTGTTTTAAAATGAGAGTTGACCTATCAACAAAATGTGAAAAATGTCATTTACCTGAAAATATGACAACGTCTGTTTGTAGTTCATTAGGTAGGTAGAGAATACCCAGAGGTGCGAGATAACTCTCTTTAAGAAACTCATTAAAGAACTCAATAAAATAGTCCCGTAACTTCGAGAGAAGAGATGCCTCCTAATAAAGGGGGTCACAATGACCAAGCTCGTGCCACTCTTTATCAAAATCCAAGTTAAAATTTTTATTTCCTACACACATATAAAAGTGTGTGGAATACATACTCAAATATAAAAAATCATTTCATTGATGTCATGAGCGTATTTTAAAAGTTATATTAATAATTTTATATTATATTTTTTTATGTCTTTTCATAAAGAAATTTATTATCACTAGATTTGAAGGATAAATTATACAAAAAAAAATTTATATTCAAAAATTTCACAATATTTAATTATTTATTAATAAATTAAAATGATAAAAATAAATGTTAGATTAATAAATTTATATTATATTTTTTTTATTCATGAAAAACGAAAAAAAAGCACTTTGATTTCCTACTCAATTGAAACTCAATACAAAATAGAATCAGGACGAATGCACTTGACTGTGAGATAAGAAGGACCAATGGTCAAATATATATACGAGAGAGGATCCATCTACCATCACTAAAGTATACCACCTTTATAACTAACTTGATCACCGTTGGATCAAAATTAAATCCAATGGCTCACGATTAATCTTTATGGGGTGTTTGGTAAGAGGATTACTTTGAGATACCCAAGAAAGTGAGGGTGGGTTTTTAAGAAGACCATTTTTGATAGCACATTTGGGAAAGTGATTTTCCCGAGATTTCGTTTTGTGTGTAAAATGTAAACCAAAATATCACCCAGAGGGTGGTATTCTTCGATTCCCATGGGCTGAGAAAACTTCTCAAACTTCGTTTGACAAAATTATCCACCTATCTCTCTTTGTTCCATGCGTCAATCGAGCTTTGACCCAATAATGATTTTTCAGCAGCTTGGAGAGGACACAAAAGTTGTCGAGGTTGTTGCTCTGTTGAACAAAGGAGATGAGTTACTGTTAATTCCGATCCTGACCTTGCCTGATCCACATCATTCAACCAAAATCAAAAACAAAACAAGAAGGAAAAAACCAGATCAGTGAGATTGAGTAGAGTAATGAATCAAAAGAATAAAGGAAAACAGTGATGATTATTTACCCATGACCGGAGAAAAAGGAGAGTGAAAGAGAGGTGTAGTGGAGTGAGTAGAAAGAGGAAGAGAGAATGGGTGAGAGGAAGTGAGAATTATAAAGGGTAATTTTATAAAATCACTCTATATTCTTGGCAATATTTTACAATTAACCAAACATAGCATCAGAAAAATTAACCAAATATTCCCGAAAATATTTTGGCCTAACAAACAGCTTTTTGGTAATATTCCTGAGAAATTCAGTTTCCCACCATATTCCCGGGAATTGTGATTCCCGGGGTGAAAAAATTCTCCTTTATCAAATGCCCCCTATAATCTTAATTTTTTACCTTTCATTCTCTCTCACCTTCTCTCATCCTCTGACAACTCTCTCTTAGTCCTACGTCCTCTCTATGGTTCTTCCAAATTCACATGAAAAAATGATATACTTATGTACAGGGTGCTGCACAACACGATACAATGACGCTTTTCTTCCATTCAATTAATCTCTATTCCTCAATTCCATGATTTCTTTCCCTTTTTTCTAGGGTTCACAACGCTCGCTGAATTTGTTTTTTTATAGTTCAAGGTAATGTTCTTCCATTTTTACGATCCTTCTCGATTTCATTTTTTTACTTCGCGAATACTTGTTCTCCATGTGGATCTATGATGGGTAATTCATTCAAGTAAGAAAATGAAGCTTAAACATGCTTCATTTGTTGAGCAAAATTCCAAATATTTGAAAAATCAGGGAATATTGGTAAGAGACGCTATAAACTTGTTAATATGCATTCTTTTTACTTGTTAGATGTTGTAGTGTCATGAAAGTTTATCTTTGTTACGTCATTAAGATTTTTTTTTAAAAAAAATCATGTTCATTCCCTCATCTCTAATCTTATATTTCACTGATACAGAGCCCAAAATAGAGATTTTCTATCATTAAACACAATTTTTTCTTTCTAACTAGTTTTTTTATTACCATTCCTTGCTAGGTGATATCTAATCTTAAGATCAAGTTATTATTGGCAATGTTTTTAGAAACACAAGTTTTAGAATCAACTGCCCCATAACAAGGCAAAAGTGGTAAGTTTCTTTATTTGGTATTCGCCTCTACTATCTTTTATTCATCATTTTTTCAACCAATTTTTTTAATTATTTTATCGTGTTTGGTTTATTTTTAAAATAAAACACCATAGAAACATTTCATGGATGATTTTTTGTTTTCTCATGTTTATAATACAATAAAAAACATGTGATGAGTTGAATAATAGGCTAAGATGTGTCTTGAAACCGATTCTAGTGGTATTTGACAATTGCCAAGTTAATGGTTTTTCATTTCTAGTACTATCATTAAGTTCAACTAGATTTTTCTTCTGT